TCTTCTTAAAGGTAAGTGATACTCCTAATCAGTATTCTAGAGTAAGTGGTAAGTAATTGGATCTAGCGAATGAAAAGGAAACATTTTCTTTCAAAATATATTTTTGCAGTTTTGTTGTGCCCGGGACCTTTTTTTAATTATCAATGTGCGATTTTATACATGATGTGTATCATTTCGTTTTTATGATCTATGCCATTTTAAGTGTACAAGTATACAATGTAGGCCATATAATATGAGAGAAAACGTTGTGAGGATATTATTTTGTAGCATATTTGTGGCATACACATTTTCATAGTTCAAAGATTCTTTGCATGCTTAGCGTTAGAATTATTATTTTTAAGCTCCTTCCTATACATTAAAACGACATTTAACTGTTTTATATAATTCTATTGTTTTCGGATTTTGATTGACATTATACATACGAAAATAAAGGTAAGATAAGGTAAGTTAGCTCTGTCTGGTCTGCCACCAAAGAGACGGACAATGTGGAAGTATGCTTACGTACCAACTGATTTGTTAACTGCAAGAGAAGTGGACGTTAGTATTGTGGAAGAATTGTATATGGTTTATGGACATACTATATATTTAAAAAAATCACTAATACTAACGGAGCTATGTCAATGACGTCTTATCCAGTGGACTGGTAAACCTTTATTGCTCGCAATATTAATTTGCATTTAGATAAAGGAAGATAATCGGCGAACCTGACAACAGAAGTGTGGAGACTATGATTTCTAGGGGTACCAAGAAATAAATAGTACAAACTGTACTAAATATTTATTACAGAAACGAAAACCATATGGAACTACTAAAAGCGAAAACAAATTATTGTCACGTCACGTTGGTTCACGTGTTGCCGCTTAAACTATCGTTTATTTGTCTTTCCTGTAGTCGTTTCCTCTAGCACCGCCACCTCTAAGAGCCTATTTATGCGGCGCTAACAGAAGTCGATAGGGAGTGTCGGCTTACTGTATCTTGCTTCTCAGCACCCAATCCAGTAGTTTGGTGTATCAGTTGATACAACTTCCCTGTCAGTACTTCTCTAACCTCCATCGGTCATAATTTTGCTCTTCAAGCTTACATAGAACATGAAAGGTTTATTCTGTTCCGCAACCAAATTGCTTTCAATTCAAGTCTCCAGGTGCACTTACATTGCCTTCGTTGCCTGAATGTCCAGGTGTTTTCAGTAGGGTGTCCCAAATAAAATAATTTCTTTTTCAAACGCATACCCTCTAATTTTGCTTGAACAATGTCAAAATAATAATTGTAAATACAGTTTTGTGTACCTATAACTCGGGCAATCCGCGCCGAACTGCGTCGGAACATGTCAAAACAGGCATATAATAATAATTGTAGCGTTTATTTGCAGAGCAAAAAAATACAAAGAGAGAAAAGAATTAAAAATGAAGAAACAACATGAATTTCCTGCAAAAGCGACAAGCTGATCAAAGTACTAGCCTAACAAACAAAATTACAACAGAGGAGTTCTTAATCAAATTATATAAGTTAATATTAATAAATAATAATTACAAGCGTAAAAAATATATGTATATAAAGAAATTATATAACAAATATAATTTAACGAAAAACGTCAAATCATTTTAGGCAGATTTAACAAAAAAACATTTAAAATATAAAAAGGAAAGAAACAATATAAAGTAAATACTAGGTGCCAGTTAACGTATTTCAGTGCTGGTTTGTTATAGTAGTAAATGCACTGTTTTCTTTCTGTCAATACGTCGAAGGAACTTCCCTCTAATAGACAAGTACCAACAATTTTTTTCTATAATATCCTGGAAGTGAAGTTAAGTGTCAATGAGATCGCCAGCCTTATGATCCGTGGGTGCATTAATTACTGGGAAAAGACGCGTATTCAGACTAAATTTTTACCTGTGTTAAGAAAATAGTTACCTTATACCAAGTTGGAGGAGATTTGCAAAAAATTTAAGCAAAACACAAGAAGTGTTTGAGCAACTTCGGCAAAAGTTTGACCTGTGCAATCCTTTTTTATGCTGCAAGTACCTCGAAGGCCTAAGGCCTTGAACACCCATGGGGTACCGTGTGGCTATAGGGAATACAGGGGAAGGACGTCACTCTAGCGAGGAAACACGTGTGCACGCGCACGTTTTGGCCCCGCCCACGAGGTCCGCCGGGTGGTAGCTCTTGGGACGGGATTCGAACCCGCGCAGCGCACGGCGACTCGTTAGGAGACCGTAGCGTCTTCGACTACGCCGCCGCTGCTGCAAATATCTGTTTGATATTGCGCATGCCGATGCAGTTCAATTGATGAAAATGAATTAAGATAGAATGTTCTTGCAGCGGCAGGTCGACCTGGCCATTTTGCTGGCGTGGACAAGAAATTAGTCATAAAAGAAGAAAAGGCGCGTCTTAGGAACACCTAAGAACAAATGTGGCGAGCTAAATATGTTCCTCAATTATTTTGAGATCATCTTACGAACCAGTGTAAAAAAAATCATCTTAAGATTCCGGGATAGATTTACAAGAAACTTTGCCCATCCCAACCCAGAGCATACAGCCTGATACTAATCAAATTCAAATGAGAAAAGTTTCATAACTGTCAAATTAGTGGCAGCATTAGATAGGTGTTAGCTAAGTATGAAAAATGCTGTTTTTGTTATTGAAGCAACCATTGAGGCACTTGGACATAACACTGACGAGTTTCCGTTAAGTAAGTCATCTATTCAAAGAATTCGTACCGAAAAGCGAAAGGAGCGCCAAGAAGCTATAAAGATTGATTTCCAACGCGAGATACCGAATACTATAACTGTCTACTGGGATGGCAAATTGTTGCCACCTTTAAGTGCACGCAAGTCTAAAGAAGAACGTCTATACGATTGTTATAACGTATGAAAATAAAAGCAACTGATCGATATGCCCAAATTGGATGACTCTTCAGGCAGTTTGGGATGCTATTATTGAATGGTATCTTGAAGATGAAGTTCAATTATCTGCTGTGATCTACTGCTTCAAATACGGGTCGAATTGACTATGACTGCGTGCTTCTCGAACAGGAACTTAATAAACAAATGCTTATTTTTGTGATTACAAGCCCTGACATTCCAATGTTCAAAAAGTTTCGCGAGAGCTGGAAAAGTGTGGATCCTGAGAAAATACAGATTTATACTGAAAAGCTATCATACCTAAATATTTCAAAGACTGACAAGATGCTAGAATTTTATCGACATACATTGACCAAAGAAGTTGCTAGAGACGACCATCGAGAATTAATAGAACTTTCAATAATATCCCTTGGCGGAGATACAGAGAAGAAATTTAAGATTCGACCGCCTGGCGCCATATATCAAGCTCGATGGATGACCAGAACAATCTATTCATTAAAAATAGCGTTACTAAGTTCCCAGCTAAAACTTTCTAATAAGGCTAAGGCAGCTCTGTTAGATATCTGCCTGTTCATCGTGACAAAATACGTGACACAGTGGTTGCAATGCACTGTAGCGGTAAAAGCACCTTACCAGGATTTTTACAGGCAATGAAATCTTACGAAAGAATTGACAAAACCATTAAAAAAGCAGTTTTACAAAAGTTCTGCAAACATTTATGGTAATTGAGAGATGAGGTCTCTGTCTTATCTCTGTTTGACGGCGACGTACATGAGGAAAAAAGGACTTTCTGACCCACTTTTTGGTTAAGTCTGACGAATAAATTTTCCTTTGTCTTCTGTCTTATTTTACTGCGACGATATAATAGGCCAACTGTTAAAATAAGCCAGCATAAACTGCGTTTATAACAATAGATGGCACGTTATACTTTCTTTCTATTTTATACATCAGATAGAGGTTAGTTGCGATGCTTTCTTTTGTTGTCCTGACCTGAGGCCAAGCGTAGATGATGCTGATGAGTTGCCAAAAAACACAAAAAACCTGCCCAAGGTTGACTGTTTGTGATCGGACGGCCGTATGTTTAGATGGTAGTTATTCTTCGTTTTCTCATTTCAGAGAAAAATATCGATGACTTTGTTTCAACTACAAGCAAGTCCTTGTTCTGTCGACTCAAAATTGGTAACAGTTTTCTCGACTAGTGTCCAGCTTCATGGCCACATACTGATTCTATTCAATACGCTAAGAATAAGGTGCAAACCCTGAGATCAGTCAACGATAAAACTGTAAAAGGAAAAAAATAGTAAATAATGTTCTTTTAATGATAACTATCAAAAAATATAAGGCACAAATAAGGTAGTGTTTTATTTGTCGAATAAAAATTAGGTTTGGAAATCCATAGATGGTTTCCCTATTAACTTTCAAATTCAGTTTGACTGAAAGTCCGGATTATCGTTATCCGATCGCAATATTTATTTTTTGAGTTGTTGGAGTCAAATGGAAAAAATAGAGGGTATGTGTATCACAATTCGATCAAAAATTTGTTTGCTCTCATATGCTGGGAAACAATAGTGTGCAGTCTAGAATTATTAACGCTTTCAATGACGTCTCAGTGTCAGATACGGTGATCATTTTATTTATCATATTCTGGGTTACACCTGTTTTCGTATGGTATTTCTATAAACGGCGGTTTGTGACCCGTTAGTGTACCAGGAAATTTCACCTTGCAAATCATATAACTACGTAAATTCACGCCACCTGCCAATTATGTGTATTATTTAGAATCCTACTAGTATCATGTGCTTATGACATTTTCATGTCACGTGGCGTGACAGTAATCTGTTCCCATCTTAAAACTCATGCGTCTTTTCCCACACGGTTTTCTTTGCCAATAAAAAATGTTACTTATGGAGCACCTAGAGCAATGCTTGTGTTAAACGTGACAGTGTGAAATGGATTTTTTAACTTTGATTTGAGATGACTGCAATTTTTTTCTTGGTTTGTGACAGATTCGTAAAAATGACTAAATATCTTCTTCATAAAGCTTCTTTTCAGTCTATCGAATAGGACGTCAAAATGAGAAAAAGTGTAATCGAAATAATAGGTGCGGAGCCAAAATTAATATACATGTATGTGTTCTAGGAAATTAAAAATGTGCAGCTGGAGGATCCAGGATCCCAAAGAGATGATGACGAGATGGATGTGTCGGACGATGAAGATTTTATGAGGAAAAGACAAAGGCATGATATATCCATCGAAGAGACATATCACTTGAAGGATGAAAATGACAGTTTGAGATGCCAGTTAGAGGCTTACAAAAACGAGGTATTTTTCATCAGCTGACTTTTTGGTTTTCTTATATCCTTTTTCTGATTATTTAGCTTAGTTTGAACAAAAATGGTTCATGGTAAGATTTCTCTAAGTTATTCAGCCAATCAATTAGTTTTTTAAATCGAAAATAAACAACTTCGACCTTAGGTTCAAAATTAGCCCAACTATCTGAAAGGGATTTGACTGGGGAACGGATCTCGATTTTTAGTGTTTGGTCATTTTTGAACTATTTCTACTGCCCATGCCAATTGGTTCCCTTACGAGAGTGATTGCAACAGGAGGCGCAACGAAATGGTCGCACCACTATTTGTGACTCCCTGGTACATTTTGGGAAAAAACGCTTAGACAAGTCAATTTTGATTTCTAGGGGGAAGTCTTTTCATCTATAGCCATACAATACAGGGTGATCAAAAATAAGATATTGCGTTACCCTTTAGATTTTTAAATGGAAACCCTCTTTTAAATTTTTAAATTCTCCTTGAAGCTTTTAGTAACTTTTGTATAATAAAGTTTATACCTCTCTTCGGTCGCTGTGAAGCTATTCGAGTTTATAGTTCTAGAAATTGTGATAATAAGGGATTATATTGTAAAAACAATAATCACATATAGTTCCCATAGTAACAAGACTTTACTTTAAAATTAAAAATTAGTATCCGAGTATTAAAAAAAAAAACAACTTACTGTTTACACGGACATTAAAGATGAAGTAAAAATTTAATTTGCTATAAAGAGGTAGGTCAGTGTGGTAATAAGTGCTGAAAGTGGTGTCTATTTACCTCCGTGCAATAATAAAGATTTTGTCCGAATCTATTACTCAAATTATCAAGGATGTCTTGAGTTATTTGTCTACATTCAATTTGGCTTCATACTGAAGACGTTTTCAAATGCCCCCAAAGAAAGTAATCTATAAGACTTAGGTCCGGAGATCTTGACGGCCACTGTTCTGCCGATCTACTGATTCGGGAGATGGGTATAAAAAACCGTCGTACTGGAGCCACATAGTGCGGCGGAGCACCATCTTGTTGGAAATGAATGTAATTTTCATTTTGTATTGTTTCGGTAATTCGTATTGTAGTTTCTAACATGTCCAAGTACGTCTTGCCTGTCAAGTTTCCAGGAATAAAGAAAGGTCCTACAATAAGATTTCCGATAAAGCCAGCCGACACATTAATTTGTTCAGGATATTGCGAGTGTACCTCGCGAAACAAATGTAGATTCGAGTTACTCCAATATCGACAGCTATGTCTATTTACAGCACCATGTAAATAGAAACAAATATTAAATAACAGATTTGCATTGTTGATTAAACTTTGGGACATTAATTCGCAAAACTCCAACCTTCTATCAAAATCGTCTTCAATAAGCTCATGGATAAGTTTTATCTTCTATGGCTGAAATTTATTGTCATTCAAATTCTTTGTACTGGTGAGCGTGAAATCCTGAAGAAATAGTCAATCCTCGAGTGCTTTGGGTGTTGTCAAGTGCCACGTGACGCAAAACTGCTATTTCTGCGGCTTGAAATAGTTCCCGAGCTAGCTCTCTCAGGGTAATGGGTTGGACGACGGTGTTTACTGCGTTATTACTTTATTTGCTAAGGTAGAGGCTTCCTGGCAGATTTACAACTGATAGCGTGAAATTCGATAAAATAAAAATAACGTTGAAAACAAAGTGCGTACGTCCCTAGGGCTGAGCGACGATATACGTGCTGCTTCTGCCGCAGCTCATGCCCGTCTTCCCGCATATCTCATCCTCAAGGTCTTACTACCTGGCTTCCCTCGCATTTTCCACTCTGACACGCACTCACACATGGTCTAGCGGTTGACGAACCTCTTCAGCCTTCATTTCTAACTGGCCGATTTGCTCGATGGCAATACGGCGTATATTAGATGCAGATGCAGTTTCTTCAAATTTTCTTACCAAGTTAGCAACATACTTCGTTAATATTTCTGTCTGGATGTAACGCATTAAACACCGGGCAGTAGCTCTTGCAACGATCCTATTTTGGTAATACAGTTTTTTGTTATTTCTACCCTTCTTGAAATGAAATACAAAGTTTGTATATCATACGATGACACTGACTGATGCTAAATGTTCTTGCTGGTGTCCATGATTATTATTTTTGGCCGTACATTCGATTATTATCAGTATTAGGTTAGTCGACTTTTATTATAAACTCAAGTAGCTTCACAACGATTGAAGATAGGTATAAACTTTATTATACAAAAGTAACTGAAACATCATGGATGATCTAAAAATTGAAAAAAAAAAAACGGTGGTTACCATTTAAGAATCTAAAGTGTAACGCAATATCGTATTTTTGGATCACCCTGTATTGTACGCCTATAGGTGAAAAGACGTCCCCCTAGAAATCAAAATTAACGTGACCGGTTTTCTCAAAATATACCAGGCGAGTCAAATCGGGTTGCGACCTTTCCGTTGGACCACCCTGTATAAATACGCGCAACTGTCGCAGATTGTCGCAATGCCGGTTGCCTACAGTTATTCACCTCGGCTTTATGGGTTGTTATTCGACATAAAGTCGTAAAAGCATACAATTTTCTCACTATGTTACATTAGTCCAGGCCTCTCCAACTTGGTGGCTGGTGCGCTCCGGTGCTGAACCCAGCGGCACTGGTGCCGTTCCCCCTCCACCTCGAACCGCACAGCCTTAGAGAAACATATTAGCCGACTGTCTCTCGGGCGCGGGCCATTTCTTAATAGGACAAGACAGGTTTTTTAGCGTGTTAACGTGCATCTTTTTTTAAACGATGTCAGTCAATCCTTCATGGAATAAGCCTATTTTTTGTAAATACTGATGAAAAAGCAAAATGTTTAATTTGTCACACGGTATGAGGAAAGCCCTTCAAAGTTCTAAAGAGGTAACTATTAATTTGGTCGTAGTTGATTATTATTAATGGTGTCGTAATGCAAGTTATATTGTTGCTTTGAAAGTCGCATAAAGTAGGAGACCGTTTACTGACGATGCACTTGTCAAAGAATGCTTAGTGGAGTGTGTAGAAATATTGTGTCCATCTCCTGTAAGCAACTTTGAGACAATTAGTATGTCCGAGCAAACAATTTCTCGTCGGATACTTGAACTTGGATGAATGTAAAGACATTTCTGACACAGCATAATTAGCTGTTTTCGTTAGAGGTGTCGAAATAGTCTTTACTATTACCGACGAACTACTAGACGTTACCCCGCTCAAAGATACAAGGGCCGGAGAAGATATTTTTGATGATGTAGAATACACAATGAACGACATAGGTATACTACTCAAAAGTTGAGTAGTGTTGTTACTGATTGAGCGCCAGCAATGTTCTCGGAAGCACAAGGTTTTACTGGGCGAATGAAAATAAAAGTACGCGACGCTGGGCTACCTCCGATATCATCGGTACACTGCATATTGCATCAGGAACAACTACGTGCAAAAACCTTCCGTAATTTCAAATGGATTATGGATGTAGTAATAACATGTGTCAATTTCTGCAGAAAGCAAGGTCTCAACCACGGCAGTTTGAAGTATTTTTCAAAGACCTGGAAGCAAGTTACGGTGAGATACCCTTTTATTGTGGTACGCGCTGGTTAAGCTGCGCAAAAGTGCTAAAGATTTTTTTTTAGAAATCATTGACGACGTTGAGATGTTTATGCAAATAAGATTTTTACGTCACCATCTTCAGTGTTTTTCGAAGCAGAAACCGCCGTAGTTCCAAATGGAGCTGATTAAGCTTCAATGCGATACGATCTTTAAGGATAGAACTACCACTACAATAGTAATTTAATTTTGTTTTATCAAGGTGTTAAACAGCAAGATTTTCCCAAAATTCTTGCGCTGGCCTTGAAAATTTGCTCCATGTTCGGTAGAACTTACTTCTGCGAGCAGATGTTTTCTTTAATGAATTTGAACAAAACTAAAAACAGGTCTTTGTCTGACGTGTCCTTATAGGCGATACTCAGAATTTCCACTGCTCAAGCCATTGACCAAATATTAGAAAACTTGTTGAATAGAAACGCTGTCAAAAGATCATCTTAAGAATAAATGTGTTTACGTCGAAATTATGAACATTATTTTATCACCCGCGCGTTGACTCGATCAGACCAATTCAAATGTCAATACGAATGTCACTCCACTCATTTTCCGTTGGGGCTGGGAGCCGGCGAAATTAAACCTTATCGTGGATTCGACTAAACTTAGTAATAATATGTAGTTTTTAAGTAAATGAACAAAAAGGGCTTGGTATGCCAAAAGTACCTGTCATATCGACTTGAAGATACAACGTGACGGTAGGATTTTACCATAACCTATACGTATATCAACGGTCATGACGTTTCATATTCATCTTACATATACTTTCAAACATCTAGTAGCCTGTGTCAAACTGACAGACTCAAATGAGCTTTTAAATGCAAGCATGAAGCATACAAACAGGATGTATTATTTTTATCTATTTGCATTGCCTGCTATAGCTTTCAGTCGGTACGACAGAAACTTCTGGCGGAAATCAGTTTGTCATACCATGTTTTTCCAAATGAGCCTAAAATTTTCATCAAACCTTGTAGGCTTCATTGGATTCGGTTATGACGGTGAAATTCTCTTGTCACGCTGTATCTTTAAGTCGGTATGACATATACTTCTGAGCCCTTCTTGTTCATTTACTTAAAAACTACATATACTAAGTGACATATAAATCCGAACACCCAGTTTAAATGGTTTTATTTTAATAAAGTTGGTAAATGTATTTATCTTACTGTAAGTAACAAGTGAAAAAATTTTCAGCCTTATCAGTTGGACATTCAGGTTTTTATACTGCTTTCTTTTTAATTCACTAACGCTCTAAAAATGAATATTTCATGAATCAACGTTGGCGGATTTTGGTTCCTGACATCCTTTACGATCGGTTACAATGCCTAGATTACGGAGACCTGTACGATTTCGTCAACTTAGTGAGTTTGATAGGGGCCGTATAGTGGGACTTCGGGAAGCTGGACTTTCTTTTCGGGCAAATGCAGTTAGAGTGCAAAGAGTGTAGACACTGTGGTTAGGTGTTGTCAGGCATGGCTTCGAGAAGGCCGTACGCAAAGAGCAAGGGGCACTGGACGCCGCCGTAGTACAACAGACCGTGAAGATCGCCGCCTAAGATTATTGGCCTTAAGGGACCGTTTCTCCACTACCAGGTCCATTGCAAATGAATGGTTTGCAGAACACGGAAGACCTATTGGCATGCGAAGTGTTTACCGACGAATGAGAAGTTTTGGCTTGTTTTCATACCGGCCACACTGGGTCCTCCCTTTAACTCGAGAACACCGACGTAATCGCCTTGAGTGGTGCAGACAACGGTCACTCTGGGATCAGGAATGGAACAGTATTGTCTTTAGTGACGAGTATCGATTTTGTTTAGGCATGCACGATGGTCGTGCCAGGGTTAGAAGGCGACGTGGTGAAGGGAGGAATCCACAGTTTTTTGTTGAAAGACATGTTCATCACACTGTTGGAGTTATGGTTTAGGGTGCTATAGCTTATGGTTCCAGGTCACCTTTAATCTTCATCAGAGGTAACATGAACGCGCAGCGTTATATCCATGAAGTTCTAGAACCCCATCTTTTACCCTATCTTGACACCCTGGCAGATCCAACTGTCCAATAAGATAATGCCCGACCACATGTTGCAAGAGTCACAATAGACTTCTTTCAACATAATCATGTCACATTGTTGCCATGGCCACCAAGATCTCCCGACTTATCCCCAATTGAGCACGTGTGGGATATGATGGGTAGGAGATTGCTCAATTGCAACGTCCTCCTCAGACTCTAGAAGCACTTCGAGAGGAGTTGGTGGTTGCCTGGAATGAGATACCACAGGAGGACATTGACCACCTGATCAGAAGCATGACTAGGCGCGTTGGAGAATGCGTAGCACATCAGGGTGCATCCACACATTACTAAAGGTCAAAGGGCTTTAAAGCAGTGCAATCAGTTTGAAATTTTTATCAGTTACTTATTATGCTTCATTAAGTACTTATACAAAATTTTATTAAAATAAAACCATTTAAACTGGGTGTTCGGATTTATATGTCACTTAGTATATTATTACTAAATTTAGTCGAATCCGGAGACACCCTGCAGCACTGTGCAACCGTCAAAATGCTAAATAGATACGGCCAGTAAAAGAAAATCTTCCGACATCGATGACTGTGTGATGACAACTGTTTACATCTGTCAAATGCAAATGTTAAGCCCTTTCTTGGACGTTCCTCAAAGATTATTCCTTAAACGGCACTCCATTCTCAAGTAACGTTTATCAATGCGATCCTAAATTGTATATAACTAAATGTATAACTTTGTTCTCCATTGAGTTTCCCCATTTTCTGCTCTTATGCTCTTATGCTAACCAACATTCACATTCTAGGTGGAAGTGCTGAAACTAGACTACAAAAAGGACATGGAAGACAAAGACAAGCAATTCAAAGTACTACAACAAACGCTACAGGGCATGCAACAGCAGCTACTCGAAGCGAAAAAAGACAATGCGAGGAAGAAGCTAGGGTGAAGGATTGCAAAGCAAATTGTCAGGGGAGAAACCTCCAAGGAAGCATGATCGAAAAATATTGACCGACAAAGAGATTATCAACTTGGATGACAGCGAAAACGAGCAGTGTGACTCTGTCAGCGTGTCAGAGTGTCTTTCAGAGGCTGCAACGAGCACAACCTCGCAGAGACTGAACGAATGCGACGCCAAGTGGTGGGCATAATATCAACTTTTCTGAACGTTCATCCTTTTGGGCAGGTTTGGACTACATTTGGTCCTATGTAAGCAAAATAGAGCCGAATATACGACCTTCCGATATTGAAATCTCTCATGATTCGGTTTCATCCGTATTCAAGCAGGAGCTTGTGGGTATTGGAGCTAATATCGAGAGAAAGTGGATTTTTAATGCTTCTGTAGTGCTCCGAATGGTAAAAGTTAGACTATGGAATTTCATTTTTTATTTAATGATTCAATATTCCGTTTTGAAATGTGATCTTCTGGAAAAGTGAATTGAAGTAAACGTATTAGTAAGAGACTGATATTTTATTTCGATTATTCCAAGTTCTAAATTGCCTGCGTTTGCCCACATTCAGTTCTTTGAATATAATGGAGGAAATGGTGTACCTCAAGCTAAAGTGGTTTCATTCACTAATGTTTTCTGCTGTGCAGCGTTTCCACTTAAGCCGATGACATGAGGTTGAATTGTGGAAAACGATCCGTGGTAAGCATTGTGTTGTAATAAGCATCTGAATGGCTCACACCTCGCATTTTAGCAAATTTCTAAAAACTACTACATAAAGGGTGGATTGCACCAAGACTCTCAAATCAACAAGCCATTATTATCCACCTATAGGGTAACAATCCGTCAAATGTACTATAGCAAATGAGCTTTAAGATCCATTCGATAAATTTTAGCAACCAATAGCTGTGAAATGTTGTAAACAAAATATTGTCAAAGTACGAGATGGCAGCTTGTCATTGAAACTTCGCCAATATTAAGAACTTAAGTATAATTCAGTTAGAATTTTAAAAAATGTTGGATTTTGGAATAAGATTCATGTTATTTATACTATTATTGATTGTTTATTCATTTAACATCACACACCCTGGGTTTCTTCCCATAAACCTCTTGCAGATAGCCATTAAACGCCTAATTGATGACAAAGACTTTCTACAGAAAATTCCATAGATATTGCTTGTTTCCAATCATTCATTCATTTACTTCCCGTTTATCAGTACCATTATGGCAGCTTACATTGATATTCGTACAAAACCTTTAAGGATTTTTGATATCCATATACACAAAGTTGAATACTTTTCGTTGTTCGGGCAGTGTACACTATATTTACTAGCAAACCTAAAACCTGCAAAAGAAAAACTAAAATTTGCAATTTTTTTTTCACGGAGTACACATTCTAAGTTACATTATTATTTGAATTGAAAAAATAAACTAGGGATGCGCAAAAATAATCGGTTAATTGAATAGTGGAATTTTTCCTGAAATTGTTCCACAACACGCCACCAATACGGACGTGACCTCACTACGTAACCAGAATCTATTTCCACCTTTGCACAACGTCCAAGCTGCCCCTGTACTGGGCGAATACATTTATATCATGTCAGATAAATGTATGAAGTTATACAGGAAGGTGCAATGGCTGCAGACAGTGTGAATTAAAAAATAAATGAAGCAAAAAAGTAAAACTTGCATTAGTAATATATTGTAAACTCAAAAAAAAAACATGCTTAGCCTGTATTTTGTGCTAATCAAGTCTTTTCCTTGCCTTTGTCCTTCGCTTTCTCCTTTTGCGGTGAAGGGTTGGGCAGTTCCGCTTGAACCGGTACCGGTTGCGGTTTCATTTCCGTGAATTGATCATGCTCTTCGTGTACTTCATCTGGTGGCGCTTCTTCTACAGGTTTCAACTTTGCCAGTTCTTGCTCAATCGCGGTGTAGAATTCTCGTTCAGCGCTCACTACAAAGCTGTCCTTTAAACGAAATTAACGGTTTAAGTAAAATAAGAATCATGTGCATTTTTCATATTGGTTGCGCACAAAACATTAATTGAATAATTTTGCTCTCCATTTGCTTATCGTCTTACGCCCCTATCACACGATCCGGTTCGCACTTGACGGCCTGATGCGGCGTTGGGCTATGGGAGTTTGATGAGTCTTTCCACACAATATGCGGCGCGCGCTCTCCCCTACGCCGGACATGCGGCCTCTAAGCCGGACTACTCTGCGAAGGGCTATTGTTGTTATTGGGGCTTTCACACGGTCTGGCGGCGCCGCACGCCTCCACCTCTAGTCCTGGATCTGCCACTGGAGAGGAAAGACGTACGTGTACTGCGGTATTGTTTTTTTTAAGTGTTGTGTTGTGCCTTTCCTCACTGTTCCGAAATGAATTGAATAAAACTTTGAAGGACCCAGAAGTATGTCGATTTTGAAGCAATGAGTGAATCCAAAACCGCCTATTTCCTATTCGTCGTCTCCATAGCAAGTACATGGCTAGCATCTTCTTCTTTCGCGCTGTGAATTTACATGCAATTTAGATCCGGTACAGTGGAGAATTTGTTACACCTATTCTATGGAGTTGATCAGGGAAACAGCCATGATTTAGCTTTAGTCTAGTTATGATCGACGAAAACTCCCTATTTGAATAAAATTGGTCTATATGAGGGACATCTCTTGGAAAATTAGGGTGCTTCCTCTAGAACGTTGCGTATTCGGTGATTCGCTTTTCAGCTTCCGTTGAGGTCGTGGTCCAGGGGTCTCTGTCGTTTTCCAGACTCTGGGATATAAGGCCCCAAGCACCCACTCATGGACTAGCACCCTTTTCCTTTTGTTGCGTAACTTAAGTTTAGTTATTTTGGGTTCTACGTCTTCCATTTTTTATGGGATTTTGACCTCAGCGAAACAGAAGAAAATCCTCGTCTTTTCTCCCCCAGTCAGTTGCATCGTTGCAGTTTTGCAAATTGGAAGCCATCCCCTTGAAAAAACCCTGACGTGAACAGGTTTTTTTTCTGTTACCATCTAATTTTTGGGACCGAGGCAAGCAGCCCCTGCCCAGTGTCGTGCCCACTACTGACTGCCTTTTTTTTTCGTTCTTTTTGACCTGGGATACATCTCGGCTGCGCCTAGCCATAACTTAGAGAAGACCTACGCCCAGATAAGTGTAGTTTAGGCGTAAAACATATATGTAAAGCGTATACCATGGCAAACGCCAACTAATTTTATTTTGCGACAGTTTTTTTAATATCCTTTCTCGCACTCCAGTAGTGGAGCACATGCGTGTTTTATTCTTTTTAATCAATATATTGTGATCCATTTGATATCTTGTTCATTTGGCTCTGTGTGTACTGTTACTTAAATTTCGTCATCTCTGTTAGATTCTCCTTTTGTGTGGTGGTCAAGCAAAACAACTTCCGACTAACATCTCGGG